TTATTGGACATTTAGAGTTTAATCATCAATGAATAGTCTGCCACCTTTAACCCTTTGACTCATGAATTATGGTTTCCAGAGATAAACATTATTTTTCGGTATTTTATTTTTAATATATGATATTTAATCACATTTGAAATCGTTTTTACAATTGTAGACATATGTAGTCAATGGAAGATATATTTATTATAAAACGAAAATAGAACAAACAATAATTATTAAAAATAAACTCACACCCATTTATTTTTGGTGAAAGTTTAAAAAACAGTTTTGATCTTTTTGAAGGCACAAATGTACGTTGCATTTAATGCAAATCCATCGGGGCTTGCCCTTGCAACCAATATTCTTACAGTACCCAGGGAACGTGTGTTTCAGCGTTCTTCGGCATATGATTGACATCCAATTGAACATCTGTAGGAGGCCGCACTTCCATTCTTCTTCGACTTGGCTGTGTACAGACTTCATTCTTTGAAGGTCTCCCCATCTTTTTTCTGGAAATTTCATTCCCTTTTTTGATAAGCACCTCCCCTTCCTCCATTCTAAATTGTAATAAATCCAGAATTTTTTTTTGTTGACCGATCAAGCAATCGGTAGTCTTTTTTGTATTCTATCCAAGAATTTATGTGCCATATCCACCGTATGGAAGATAAAGAGTAAAAGTTCTTCGTGTACAAATGTCTATAATTGGAGATACGCGATTGCCTGCTATAGTCACTAAAATAGATTAGTTTCCAAAATATGTATAAAACACGTAATGATATGCTATGCTCCAAAGATATAACAATATTTAGTGGATGAGCAATAACTTTCGATATTTTTTTGGAATTATAAAAGAATGTCTAACGTGGAACCACCATGTACCTCGCTGTGTAACTTACTACAAGTACATGATAGATATCACTGCAGACTGAGTGTAGACTGACCTATATACCTGTTGCGGCGAATACTAGAAAGTTAGTGTCTATAATTGTACCATGAGCCAAAGGGTTAATATAACACATATTTGTTTGGGTTCTAACTTTCTTAAGATATCTATTGGGCCACTTGGTATAAAAAACAAAGTACCTTTTGGCGCTTCTCTAATTTGCATAGGAAAAGTGCGTGGGGCCATTTGCTCCATTTTTAACCAATTTTAAAATGTAGGACGGTCTCAATTCGTCTGAATTTTTTTTTTTTTTTTTTAGAAAGGATGTACCTCATATAAATGTGTTCAGGATTTATTAATGGCATCTATAAGAAAACCATCAAGCTCTTCAATATTTTATGTATGTTTAACGATAATTCTTTAGAACGTTGTCCGATTTGTATCATTCTTATCGTTAGAAAGGAGGTACCACAAGAGTGGTCCCATATATATTTGGTCTAAATCTGATGATGGGATTTATAATAAACTCAGCAAACACAATTTGTAATGGCACCTGCACGATTTTGGAGTCGGGATTTTAAAATTACTTTTATAACTTTTATTTTTCAGGTGATTTTCAGTGGAATTAATAAACAAAATCTAAACATCATATTTTATCGAAACGCTGATGATATACCACAATTTTGGACAATTATTTTTCTTTAATATCACCAGCATTCGACGGTTCATCGCCGTACCTATGTTTATAATTATAATTTAGGTAGTTATATACTAACTAATAGATTAAAACAAAAAGAGTAATAACACGTACCGCTAGAGTACTGAGTTAATTGCGTATTTTGCAAAATATTGTACAACGGACTTTTATTTTATGGATTTCTGTTTCGCAAAATTTGCTTAGATTGATATCTGCGAAATGCGAAGATGGTAAAGTTACAAGGCCGTTTCTAGGGTTACTGGGTTAATTCGATTGCGTTTACTCCTGTAAACTTGAATAAAGAAGAAATAATGTGAAGATTGCAAAATGATTGTGAGCAGAACATAAAAAAAAACATGCAAAATTTTAAATAGCTACAATTATTTGATATTTTAGGACTAGAGTATTTTCAAAAATAAGACAGTTTTACACACCGGAAAGAAGAATATATTTATGTATTCCGTTTCTTTTATTTGAACTCGGAAGGAAGAAAGACTGACACTCTTATAGTTATTCTAAAATCTGACGTTGCCACATCGAAAGTCATTGTACAGGGTGTTCCTTAATGACATGCTAATATTTAAGGGATGATTTTTGGACCCATTTTAGGGAAAACTTCATATGGACGTATGTCCTAAACCTCCTAACTTTTGAGATACAGGGCCGTAAAAAAATAGTTTTTTTAAAATAACTGTGATACTATGATAGATATCTTTATAAAATTAAGCACACGTCTTCTATGAATCCAGATGCATTTTCTGATGTAAAAATAATTTTATTATTTTTAGCAGTGGCGTCCGTACGGTTTTTGCATTAAATCTTTTTGGAGAAAAAATGGTACGCCGCTACCTAGTCTTGAAATAAAAATTATTTTTGGAATCGTCATTCATTCCTGAACAAATTTGATCTCCTGCTTTTCTTTCGCCTGACACATGGTTTTCGCTTCAAAAAAATAAAAATCGTTTTACTTCCGAGTGAAATCTGATGCGGTGACTATTTCGTAGAAATCGCTTTTTTCCTTTTTGAAGCTATTGAGTTCATTTTATACCAAATATTAATTAATTAAGAATTAAGTAACTTATTTTACTTAAGGAAAAAATAAAACAAAATCAACTGCCAATAATAATTACAGCATTATAATTTTAGCGAGTATTTCAAAATGTTCACATGGACGGCTTAAATTTATTAACTATTAATTACTAAAAATACTAACAGTGATTATAAAAATTGTTGAAACTGGCCACCTTCACCTAGTAGGCATGCTTCCGCCCGTCTTCGCATGGAATTGCGTAAATCCTCTACAGTGTTAACGACAGTTTGATACACTACAGTTATCCCCATGAAAAGAAATCCAAACTATTGAGATCGGGGGATCTTGATGGCCATTGTTGAGGTCCTCCGCGACCTATTCAATGATCAGGATAAACTGTAAAATGATTTCGAACAATTAAACTGAAATGAGCAGGAGTTCCATCGTGCATGAACCACATTTGATTCCTTATCGCAATTGGCACATCTTCAAGCAACCCTCGCAGTTCTTCTTCGAGAAAATGCAAAAATGTTTTATTTCGGATTTTGATTATATTTTTGCTCTATTAGACCAAATTACTATTTTATTACTCTTCTCCCGCATTTGTGAGAATACCGATACAACTCAAAAAAACTTTAAATTATTGATTTAACATACTTAAACTTGGAAAATGTCAATTGCATTAGCGCCGTCAAGCGAATACCACCATAACTACGGAAGTGTCGTTGTTTCTGTATAAATAACATACCGTTTCAATTTTGTTGATGAAATAAGTTTTAAATTATGCCGGTATTCTCGGAAATTAGCATTCTGTAAAAACAACATTTTTGTGTTGACAAGGGGGGTAGCCATGTGTGAGTTGAGGTAATTTTAAGGTGAAGGGGGGAGAAAAAGTCCTTTATATCTCACAAGGAAAGTCAATGTTTAATTATTCAACAAAACATTGAGTGCACTCAATGTTTTGTTGAATAATTAAACATTGACTTTCCTTGTGAGATATAAAGGACTTTTTCTCTCCCCTTCACCTTAAAACATTTTTGTGTTATGACGTTCTTGTAGCAAATAAGCGATGTATTTGTTGTTTAGTGTGCTTGTGTCGGTAAGTGGAATTACTACAGAGTTGAGTTTTAATTTACATGGATTACGTTGAGGAGTATGGCATCCGATTCGAGTAACTGAGTTTTAGTTAGTCTATGGAGACTTTGAAGTTAGCGATACATATAACTAACGCTAGGTTTTACAATGGTCAAAAATGTAATATTTTCTTTGAGGTGGGGCCTCACTCTTCAAGAAGCATTGGAAATGGCCTATATTGACAAAGCAGAGCAAATTTTTATTGAACCACTGGACAGGAACCTGTTTACGGATTCTGTGGATGAGGATGATAGAGGAACCCTTGATAATTTAAACGGAAACCAGCTTAGATCAAAGGTAGAAATAAAATTATCTAATACAGATAGAATTGTTTCTGGAGAAAATAAAGAAGACAGTAATCCGACAAGATCCAGTGTGAAGAAAGAAAACAGAAGGGTTCAAATAAAGCAAGAAAATCTACCGAAGAAAATAAATGGATAAAAGACGCAGATATTGTTGATTATCCAAAAACTATTTTCTCAAATTCTACGTATGAACAATACCGCAAAATGTCATCTGTCGAGATGTTTGAGCAATTTATCGATACTGAGGTTATTGAGCTACTTGTCAACAAGACAAGAAAATATTCTCTTTTTAGTAACTTTCCCCATCCTCAAATTTCTGCAGATGAGATCAAACTTCATCTGCACGAATGCAATACTGAGGCCCCATAGGAAGGGCCTCAGTAATATCCATGTATTTTCAATGAGGGTTACGTTTTCAATATTTGCCTAAAGTTATAGTCCCATCGTTCTAAATTCAATACAATTACCTTCTTTTTTTTTTAAATCAGTGGTATTTTTATCTATCTATCGTAATAACGGAAACAATCTCGGACACTCTGTAAGTATACCGCTATTCAGATATATAATTTTTAACATTTTACCTTTACCCGGTGCAATATACGAGTCTTTAAAATTTAGTAAAAGTCATTAGGAATATATTATTAAATTACAATTTGTATATAAAATTCATAGACGATTATTTTAACATCATTTTCTACTTATTTTGTTAATAATAAAGGTTCATTTTCTAACGCTAACAACCAATTAAATCAGCGATAAGGTGATGAAAATGTTTTAACAATTTCAAAATCATTATTTAGACAGACTGTATTCTACATAAAAATAATTGTATGTGAATGAAAACTTTTATTGTTAAAAATACTAATTGTTCACATCAATAATTATTGGTAAAAATAATTGACAAAATATATAGATATTATCTGGATATAAAAGAGTTCAGCACACATAGCATTTACTTATTTAATAATGATGTTCCTAACCTTAATTGCGTTTTTAATTGTGAAGCAAGTTGTAACAAACCAACAAATACTTATAGAAAATAAACTGGAAGAGATATCGTTAAATCAATGTCTCACAGAATTAATTTCCAAAAATTTTCCAGAAAACCTTCACGTTACCGTTATTTTACCAAAATTGAATGCTGAAATTAATCAGGTTGCTACGGAATTACTTTCTACAATATATTTATCCCAAATTCGGTTAGTAGAAATAAAATCAAGCAATAAGGAAGCTCAAACTTTTCTACGATACATCATGACCAAAGAAATACGACAAAATTTTATAATTTTCTTAGACGATGATCCTGAAGACGATCTGAATGTTGACATATATTATTGGAATCCATATTCCGTGAGATTTATTGCAGTGACATTAGAAAATAATATTTCGTTAAAAAAGATTGATAAAATATTTAATTTTCTCAGCAAAAAATTTATTAATAATGTTATACTTTTGACCAAAAATGAAATAAACGGTGATGTTTTTAATATTTATAACCAAAAACAAAATTATAAAAATTGTATTGTTCAATCTAAGACTACTAGACTTTTAGAAACATGCACGTTTGGAAATTTCAGTAGAAATGTCAAACTATTTAAGGCAAGACGACATATAAGCAAACAACAACTAAAAAACTGCACTATTAGGGCTGGTGTATTTGTCGCACCACCATATGTCAAAAAATACAAAAATTGGAACACTATACCTTTAAAACAACGTTTTTATGGATTGGAAATAAATCTACTAAAATTAATAACCAAAAAACTAAATTACAAAATACAATACGTCGAACATGATATAATGGGAGATGTATTATCAAATTTTTCTACAACTGGAAATTTCGATAATCTGTTGACAGATAAAGTTGATATTATTATAGGTAAGATAATAAAAACACAAGAACAAAAAATATATATTGAAGAATTAGGCACTGCGTTTATTGTTAGGACTGATAGATAATTACAAAACGTCTTTATGCTAGATAAAACGTAATGCTTAAAAATTGACAATTTGCAAAACTTACTTAACACACTGCGCAAGAGCTACACTATAAAACGTTAATTGTAGACAGTTAAAATAATTCAGGAATATGTATCAGTATTGTCAATTATTAAAAGAAGAATGTCTTCTTTTATAAAAAGACAGTTTAAAATAAATAATATATTTAAGATAATTTGTGTTAGAGGTAAATTATAATATTTAGTTTGAATCCTTTTTTAATCAAATTAGACCTGAGATATGATAATAAACGTAAAGCGTACCTCAACCAAAAAAAATAGATAAATCAATTATTGTGGCTTCAGGAATTGAAAACAAAATGTTTATTTTCGTATAACGCATACCTAAATCAAGAATAAACGTGCTTTATTTAAGCGTCTCTAAAGTACTCAAAACAAGCAAAATAATTATTAATTTAAGATTTCTCTTAGTCTTAGATTAAGAAATAAAATATAATCGGTAAGCACGCACTCGCGTATCGGGGACAACATAATCATTTGTAATTGTTGTGGTGGGAGGTGTTTGTGTGAATGCGTCTTATTCGTTTTCATTTACGCCGTGACTAGCAGTAGTATTTTATAAACCTTAGAAGCAAATTTCACATACATGAACAAATAATAACAATGCCGTGACAACAAAAAGACGAAGCAATGGCTTCTCGTAGGGTGGCGGCTTCTCCGCTACCAGAAAATTTTAATCCATACCTGGCTACGCCGACCGGCATAAACACCAACGGCCTGAACACAGCTCACCCACTCTGTCAAAAAGAGACCGATGTACAAATGAAACGCGTACGACATGCGCACTACAAATGATTAGTATTGTCCCCGATACGCGAGTTAAGCACGTTGTATATTCAAATACAGAATAAACATGCTTGATTCAAGTATGATGGTGCTTATAATATATTTTTTTGTGTTTTTTTTTTTGGCATAGGCACATTGCCATTCAGCCAGACACTGCTTTTAATATAATGGTAGCTATCATCCTAAAATCAAGAATGTCCATACTTAAATCAATCACCTAACGTATGTCAATACCAGTGGCTTATCTTATTAAAGATAAAATCATAACTCCTCGGTTTTTGTTCGAAAAAGATTAATTTGCAGTAAATACTAATTTTGTTAAATATAAAAAAATAAATCATGAAATACTAACCTATAAGGTGTGCAATAAACTTTATAATGGTTTAAACTTTAAAACCTATTGGATTTGAAATAAGGTTATGCAGTTGAGTGGAATGTAGGTATAACTTAAAAATAATATATTTTTTTAAGAATAATACAATATTTATTACATATAAAGATGTTAAACAAAATAAAATAAAAATTTTAATAATAAATTATATACAAATTATTTTAAACTAACTGATAAATAAAAAACAAACTCTATTTTATGACCTAAAAAAAAAACTTACAATTTATATATACAATATGTATATATAATAATTTTTTTGAGAATAAAATAATGGTTTTTCACAAATCGTCAATGACGTGATCTTCTATTGTATTATTGATGATATGTGGTCGGTTATGAGTGTTTTATAAGTACTTTCAAGTAAAAAAGTCCTGATGGGCTTCTGAACGAGAAGAAAGTGTCAGTGTCAAGATCCTTATTGTATTTCTTTTTTCTATATTTCTGTTTCTTTAGTTAGTTAGTTAGTTAGGGACTTCTCTTATAGACGAATTGTGATTCACTGAATGACATATATGTCAATGCCAAAAAAATACGTACTCTAGTTTGGGGGCTACTTCTGAAATTGGAATTGTCAGCAAAAGTTTATATGCTAATGCCAACATTTGGTAAGCCGCTGTATACATATTTCGGTGTTAGAACTGGCGCCTACCGGTGCTTGTAGGACCGGCGCATCGGGAAATCTCCCGATTTCCCGGTGGGCTCATCCGCCCCTGGCATTACATCACCTAACCTTACTTACTTATGAAAAGACACTTTAGAACTCTCTTTGTCCAGTTTTTTGCACAAAATGCACTCAAGAACCATATTGTTAGCTAAACACTAAAACTAGAAGCCGAAATATTTCCAAAAAAATCAACAAAAACACCCGATATGGAACAATTTACTGTATGACAACGTCGCAAACTATAGATCGATAACATACTATACGTGACGTATAGTATGAATGAAACAAGGTTATTTTCAATTGCGGTGGTGCCACGTTTAACGCTTTCAAAATCCATTCATTTAATTGCAGGCCTATTAATGATGTTTGCCATAGTTTAACATAGTATTCGCAAAGTTGTTATTTAGCAGGCGTATGTACGTAAAACCGATAGGTACAAAAATGCCCTGCATAATAATCTAAAAATAGGTGCTGCTTAAATATCAAGTCTGCTGAAAGCAGTTAAAAAAGCTTAAAATACTTTGTACACATTTTATACGTTTTTTGTTTTGTTACAAGTAGTCATTTTATTTAGAGATTTACTTACTTAGAAATATTTCGATAACTCTGCCCACAATGCGTCCCCAGCTAGCACAAGAACATTCCATTTACGTTAATAAGATGCAATTTTAGGCTCTTTAAGCTCGCATGCCATGTACTTTTAATGTAACCCAACTCTAATATCCATGCAACCGCCGAATGTCCGCAACGACAAGACCTTTATAGCACATCTCATAGAGGTTACAAAGTAAGGTTCAGAAAACATCACACTAGTACTTTTACGGTACTTTCTCCGAAAATTGCTCTGAAACGTTTTGTAGATGTTATAATGTGAATTAGTTCTACAGCATTATATGGACTTAACTATACTTGTAAACATATTTATTCTAAATTAAAAAAGTAATTTTTCATAATTTATTTTGCTTGTTAAATAAATATGATTCACGTTGAGAAATTATAATTAATAAATTTTTTTATTTAAAATAAATATTTGTACAAGTATAGATAAATCCATCCGTGGACACACTATAATGTTCTTTATGTAATACAGAGAGGCTGAAACTGAGGTTATAGTAAAATCTCAAGCGATACAGGAAATTTCAAATAAAACAAAATATTTATATACATTTATTATTAAAATGTTCTGGAAATCAAGTACCAATATCACAAAAGTAGAGGTAGGTATATCACAAATGCAATTACACATGTGCGATAGTAGAAGCCACATATAAAGCACTGACCGATTGGACAAAATTAGCTAAATATAAATATAATAAGGTACGAATAATGCAAAGCTTTACTAAAAGGTTAAACGATAAACGATTGTACAAAAGTATATTTATATAAGGTATGTTTCAAAGATTCACTAGATTTTTGTAAAGATTTCAACTGTACCATTCTAAAACTAGATCGGTAAAAATAGCAATTGCAACAATAATTATTATACTAGAGAATAGCCGAATTCCCTAATTTATTACCTGTAGATGCAGAGATATATCATTTTTTTTAAATCAACCCTTTTAACTTTTTTTGTATAGATATGTATGTAGGCCTAAAAGATGCAGCTGATCTAATTAGCTCCTATTTACATGGTCGCCAACAGATAGTAGTGATTGATGATAGAAGATCTAATTATGTGAGTTTAACATCCGGTGTACCTTAAGGTACCCATGTAAATAGTGATTTATAAATGTTTGTTAAATTAGCTTTCGATCGTTGTTCTCAAATAAAACGTAACTCTATATTAAATAATGTTAATTTTAAAATACATGGAGAGCTTCTCAAAATTGTAAGTGAAGCCAAAAGTCTGATCTTAGATTCGAAAAATATATGAACCAGATGATAAAGCGTGCTTATTCTATTATTAAAGTAATATATAGCAACAGACATTTTCGTTCACAATAAATTAAAAAAATATTATGTGATTCACTTGGTTTAGCAAATTCAGCAACAGAAGTTTTATTAGAACGACTTGCATAATTAAAAGTATTTATTTCCTGACTCCAAATTATAAAAGAAAAATGTCATGGTAGACAATGATGAATGCATCTGCGGCGAGGTAGCCGATTTACAACATTTACTTTTAGAATGTATTTTAAATGATATTGACATATCAAATCTATATACCAAACTTATTCAATATAATGTCCAACTACCTATTAATTTGTCACATCATTTAAGAAACGTCGGTTGTCCGGGAAATATGACCTTACTATAATAAACGCGTCAAAAGTGCCCCCACTTTGATAAGAACAAACGGTTAGAAGGTGGCAACGATAGAAGGAGATGGGACAATGTTGATAGTTTGTTTTTTTTATCTATTTCGTTGATTTCTTAGTAGACAACAGGTTGTTGAGTTGTAAACGTGCTTTAAATAATATTCATTCGGTTTATTTAAGAAAAAATGAATGATCCAGAAAACCAACAAAAAAAAAAAGAAAAAAAGGAGTGAGAAATGCGAACAGTTACAAATGGGTAAGAATCAAGAAAGTTAGACTGGAAGGTGCTTCGTATGTAAACAGTGTTGGTAACGAAGTTCCAGCTCGCCAGTATGGAGGTGATTGCAGGTAATATACGATTTATTTTGTTCTCTAGTTATAATAGAAAAAACTAATAATCTTGTTAAAATTTAATATAAACCTGTGGAATCTCATCACTTATTAGTTTTTTCTATTTGTTCCAGATGTCGTTGGAAATGCACTGACAAATTCACAGATGATCAAAAGACATCTCTCATCGAAAATTTCTCCAAACTATCGAGTAAAGATGCTCAGGATGTCTACCTGCAAAGCAGAGTCAAATTGGAGCCTGTGAAGCGCCAGAGATCAAGAAAAAATGTGTTTGTTCGGTCAGCTGTATTCCTCTATTAGGTATGTAAACGAAAAAAAGGTTTGCAAAAAAGCTTTTATCAGTTTATTCGGCATAACAGAGAAAAGACTCCGACATCTGACTTCACTGCTGCAGCAGGGGAATATCCCAAAAGATATGAGAGGTCAACAAGACAATCGATATAAGATGCCTGAGTCAGACTGCCAAGAAATCAGGGCGCATATAAATAAATTCCCTACAAAAACTGCACGCTACTCAAACTCGGAGGTCAAGTATCTAAGTGCAGAGCTCACTATAAAAGCAATGTATGAGCTGTTTAAAGAAGAGCACCCAGACTCGAGAGTTTCCTACTTTTATTACCAAAAGTTTTTCAGACAGCACTTTGACTTGAAGTTTGGAAGGCCTCAAAAAGACACCTGTTCAAAATGTGAAGAGCTGATAACAAAAAAGAATAGTAACGAACTCAACCCACATGCCAAGAGGGTGGCTGAGGCTGAATTAGAGGTACATAAAAGGAGATCAAGAAAGTTTTACTCCAAAATGAAATCTATGGAATCTCTGGGTAGGGATGACATTGCAGGGATATCTATGGATTTTATGCAAAATCTTCCCCTTCCTCACATCCCCGTACAAGAGGTGTTCTATTATCGGCAACTCTGGGTTAACGTCTTTAATATTCATCATATCAGCGCTGGTAACTCAATGTATTACGTTTATCATGAAGGCCAAGCCAAAAAAGGTCCAGACGAAGTGCGACACCTTCATCTTTTCTCCGATGCATGTGGTGGCCAGAATCGGAACCACACTTTACTGAGATTCTTGTGTGCATTGGTTCAAACAAAGAGGTTTGAGACTATCAACTACTACACGCCCATCCGTGGTCATTCTTTCATGCCAAATGACAGAAATTTTGGCACCCTGAAGAGACGAATAAAACGGCTTGATAGAGTATACGTTCCCAAGCAATAAGTTTAACAAATCGCAAATGCAACCAAGACACCAAAAAAGGCTATGGTAACAATGGTTTCCACAGAGGATATTAAAGATTATAAACAATGGTGGCCATTGCATTACAGAAAGAAAACACTATCAGATGAAACAAAAGGGAGACATGTTCCTAAGGAAAACAAAGTTTCATTTTTAATCTCGAAGTATCACCATTTTCGTATGTCTGCTGGTGCCCCAGGAGTAATAAAATGTTGGGGCTTTATCGATGGTCTTGACAATCACACTTTCAGTCTAGGGAAGCATGGAGCTGTTGAATTGCCGAATGAGCCAGCTTATAATGGCAAGGTGCCACTTAATGTGGAAAAAAAACGGGACATCGAGAAATTGATCAAGTATATACCTTCCCAATACCTAGATTTTTACGAGGATCTACGCAGCTGGCCTACTACCACTGAAGAAGATGAAGGTTAATGATTATACTCTTGAGTTCAACATATAAAATACATGTTTAAAGTAATTTGCACATTTTATTTTTGAAATCCTTCATGTTTATTGTAGAAACGTCATTTGTCCAAAAAAAATTATGGGCAACCCTGTAGTCATATAAAAATGTTTTTCTATTCCAAGCTTACTAAAACATTTCTAATACATATATGTATGCATCTGATTTGTTTTGAAATTTTTCTTTAAGCTTTTTTGGAAATGATACTGTTTTTTTTGAGTTTACCAAAACTAGTGTTTTGTGACAAATGACTTTCCTAAAATAACACATTCAATTATAAAATAAATTCTTCAAGTTAAAAAAACAACCACCAAAAACATGACAAATGACAAGAAAAAGTGACAAGTGACAATTTACATAAAAAATTGAGATTGTAATGTTCACAGTACTTCTTCTCATGGATACTTCTTTTAGCAAATTACTTTATAACGTTGTGGAAACGTAACAGGTAGGTTAAATAGATAAGTAACAAATAGAAGTTTTGCGAGGTTTTGATTTCCCTCAACAAATTTTTATGAACGTTGCATTTACGTTTTATGGTAATTTTATTACGTTCTCTTAAAGCAACATCGCCGAAAGACTTGGCAACGTTATGTGCTAGCTGGGGTCGGAGTAGAACACACTGCACTAGGTACGAAAATTAATTGGTGGGGACACTTGATGTATCGTAATATATCTCGAAACTATTCTAATCAATAAAACTTGTTGCTATAGTGAGTTATGGGTAAAAACTATCTTTAAATATGAAAGAGATAAACTACATAGCCTGGCAAAGCACATCAGAAAACGCATGTCGGTTCTTTTACGAAATAGCTGCTCGCTAATTTTCTCTGCAATATATGACAGGGTTTAGAGGTAAATAAATGTATCTATTGTTTCTATAATCCAAGATTAAAATCGTGCAAAATTTAGAATTAAGTTTTTGAATACTAAAATTAAACGTTTTTTATTTTAAGTATTAGAAATAAGAATATACATACTTTAAATTTTACATATTCCTGAAAATTTTCTACTGTCTTTAATTACCGTTGATTCCAAAGATTCTAGCATCGGCTTCTGCCTTTGTTTTTAAATCATCTCTATAATCCTAATTACCAAAATATATTTTTTTGTACTTATGTGTTTTTCTTATTGAAAATGACCACATTTTTGTGGCGTTGAATAACCTTCTTTATTTTATTTTAGGTAGTTATACCAAGACATACACAAGATATATGATATTTATTGGAACTAATTTTTATATTAATGACAAGTTAACTTTTTGCGTTCCTTTCCAACCTATAAAATTTTCAAATACAGCCAGGTTAATTACTGATTTCTTAAATGCTACAATATTCACTGTGTTATGTTTAATATGCGTGGCGACTTTAATGTGGTTGAGCAATAATATACTACCAGATAACAATTACTACAAAAGTTATTTAAATGCTTTAATCACTGTTATAAGGTTGATGTTAAGTCCTTCTACGCGTCATAAAATGGTTTTTTCCGGTTGCAGAATAGCATTTGCATCAGGATTGATTCTGTCAATTTATTTTAATATAATTTACAGCTCTTGGACCACTAGCAATTTGATGGACGCCAGATATAAGCAAAAATATGGATCTTTAAAAAGCATATTCGAATACAACTTAACCACTTATTATGGTCCAAACTGTTATCAATACTTTCAAGATTCCGGTTCTAAGAAAATTCGACAGCACTGGAAGGACTGCATTAATTATGTTGATTGCCTTCATGATGTCGCTTTTAAAAGAGATAGGACTTACTCAACGGCTTATATGATAATGAGAGATATTCAAAAGAACTATGTATCTATAAATAATGAACCTTTGATATACTGTTTTGGGAACTTGATGAATTTTATGCCAACCATGTATTTTTCTGCTGGGTCCGTTTTTGCTGAAAAATTCAATTATGTTCTTACGCACTTTAGAAATTCTGGAATAATAGTGAAATGGATAAAAGAGTCTCTGTTTAAGGATCTTGATAGCATTGAAAGATCGAATATCAATTTGCATGTCGATGAAGGAAATTCTATTCGGTTTAAACATTTGGTACCGATTTTAAAGATAATTTTCTATTTTATTGTTTTATCAGTGTTCGTTTTTTTGGCAGAGTTAGTAGTACACCGTGTTCAAAAGTTTAGACAATATATAAAATAGGTTTTCAACAATTATGTAGTAGCCTTAGATTAAAGAGACCGAAGATGTAACATTGCACACTGCGCATGTTGTCTATTTTAACCCAAAGTAACCCCCCAATTGAAAATCATTGTTTGCACGACGCCACCCGAATTGCTCCGATTTTTCCATTCATCGATCACCTTCACCTGAGTTTAATCACCATTGACAGCTGTTTTTTGATTTATTTGTTAGTATTTTAGCAATTTAAAGTGTTCTAGTTATTCAATTTCAAGTTCAAAATGCCACGATGTATCTTGAAAAATTGTATGTACTTAAAATACAAGTACTAATGTTATGAATATATTCGTTTTCAGTGGTAAATATTTATTAACGTTTTGACATAATGCGCCATGATTCTCTGGGCTGAATACTTCAGATCCGCATTAAGGGGTTTCAATAAATATTAAGCATCAGAAATCAGATTTCATATTACCTACATAAATTTACAAAAAGGTAAAATTTTGAACAATTAATTTAAATAAAAAGTAAATAGGCATTGTTGCTAACGAAATTTTGTATTTAAAAAGTAGTAAAGAATCATAGTTGCTAGCTAAATTTTATTTTTATAAGGTATTTTTATAAGAATATTAGATTAAATACAGGATGACCTACTTAAAATTTCAAGGTTCATCTTATTTGCGGTCAAATCGAAAAATGACATTTGAATCTTCAGTCTTAAAACAAAATAAAACGCACCATATGATCTAGTATAAGCAAAAAAAATACTAAAGTTACGGGAGTTGGTCACATTAATAAAATGTTACATTACAAACCCCTAAACAACTCGAACAAAATTTTCGTTTACTAAAAAAATCCAAAATTTAACAATATTTATTATTTATTATACAATCGAATGCGGTTTCAAAGATAACGGGATCAAAAAAATTGAATCTCTAAATTTTAGAGCTTAATGCTCGGATAAAGGCAAGCGACCGATAGGGGTTACAAAAATAATCGATTTATCGATAATTCTGATATTTTTTTTATGAAAATCGATTTATACGCTGTTTTTAATAAATTATTTTTGATTTCTTAAAATAATGTATTAATCGATTTTAAAAGAAATACAAGAAAAAGTAGATTTATTCAAAATAATCGATTTTCGTTTAATCGGTTTTTTCAGTATTTGATTATATGAAAATAATCGACTGAATATAATCGGTTATTTTATATAACCGATATTTTGGTTATTTTTTTAAAATTATCGATTTATTGGTTAATCAGCTTTAAATTAATCGATTATTTGCGATAATTGAATAATCAATTTTAAAGGAAATATTAAAAAAAGGATTATTAGAAAATAATCGATAATTCGTTTTATTTTTTGGAAAATCGATTTATCATAGAATCGGCTTCTTAATTAATTGGTTATTTTCGATTAGGCGAATATTTTCGGTATTTCAAAGATAATCCAATTATCGATTTTAAAGGATATGCAATAAAATAGTTTCTTGATTAAAATCGATTTATCATAGAATCGGATTCTTAATTAATTGGTTATTTTCGATTAGTCAATTATTTTGGAATTATCGATTATTTTCGGTATTTCAAAGATAATCGAATTATCGATTTTAAAGGATATACAATAAAATAGATTATTTATTAAAATCGATTTATCATAGAATCGGCTTCTTAATTAATTGGTTATTTTCGATTAGGCGATTATTTTGGAATTATCGATTATTTTCGGTATTTCAAAGATAATCAAATTATCGATTTTAAAGGAAATACAATAAAATAGATTATTGATAATAATCGATTTATCATAGAATCGGCTTCTTAATTAATTGCTTATTTTCGATAAGGCAATTATTTTGGAATTATCGATTATTTTCGGTATTTCAAAGATAATCGAATTATCGATTTTAAAGGATATGCAATAAAATAGATTATTGATAATAATTAATCGATGAAAAATAATAGATTATTTAAAATATTCGATAATTATCTCTTTTTTTTTGAAAATTAATTTATCAGTTAATCGACTTTTTAATTAATCGAATATTTTTGATTAATCGATTATTTTCGATTTTTTAAAGATTATCGAATAATCTGTTTCCACGGACGAAAAATAATAATTTGAAAATAATCGATTATTTAAAATAAACGATCATTTAAAATAAACGATTATTTAAAATAAACGATTATTTAAAATAAACGATAATTCTTTTTTTATTATATTTTGTAAACACTTATTTATGGGTTATTGGCTTTTTAATTAATCGATTATTTTTGATTTTTCAAAGATAATCAAGTAGTCGATTTTATAGGAAATGACAAAAAAATATATTGTTTGAAAATAATCGATTATTTTCAATGATCAATAATTTATT